CATCTACATCGGCCGGTGGCCCGGTGCATGATTCTTTATAGTTTTGCAGCTGACAACTGCCAAACCGCAGGCTTGCCCCTCCCCCACACGTCACGTGACCCATTTTGGAGTCACGACATTTCTAAATCAATATATTTACCCGACTTCCGAGCCGCGACATTTCAAACTTACCTAAAAATGGGAGATCTCGGGCCGCGCAATTTCCGTAAAAAGTAGGTAGACGTTTTCCTCCCCTGCAGTAAGATATTAAATTGTTTGAATTCTAAACAAAGATTATGCTTCCACATCCAGATGCTAGCGCCAGCAGTGGCAACCAAAGGAACTATTTTATTGTTTAGTATATATATATATATATATACTATATAATTATAATAATAACAATATATCATTCTGCTTAGGCACAGTCTCTCAAAATGTTGCAGAAACACATTTTCCATTACTAATTATTTACATTTATTTGTTTGTGGTACAGCGAAATATTGCATTTTTTTCACAGTCGATGTAGCTACCACGTGTTCTTGTGTGTGACGTCACCATAGTGGAATTCTATGAAGAGAGGTACTTTTGGCGGTCCACTGCCATGTTTTGGTCTTAACCCTTTGCAAGGCCCCATGCCCTTGGCCCTTGGGCCTCTCTTGCAAGTTGCAATGGTCTAAACTCAACAGTTCGACCCCCTTCTCTCATCACAACTCCCCTTAGAAATATGTGGAGTTTCGAAATTGATAGTAATAAATCGATAAATATTTGAACTGAGAAATTCCTTAGTTACTTACGTTGGTTCCAGAATGATATCAATGACATAAAAAATGACAATAACATTGGTTAAGCCTCAGCCATGATTCTAGGCTTCTAGCTCTGCTCAGTCCTTACACTTTTACCTCATAATATATACTAAACAATAAAATAGTTCCTTTGGTTGCCACTGCTGGCGCTAGCATCTGGATGTGGAAGCATAATCTTTGTTTAGAATTCAAACAATTTAATATCTTACTGCACCACAAGTTAATACATTTAAATAATTGGTAATGGAAAATATGTTGCTGGAACACTTTAAGAGACCGGACCTAAATAGAATACAATATTATTATATTTTTAGTCAAGATACTAACAATAAAGTAGTTCATTTCAGTGCCGCTGCTAGCGCTGGCATCTGTATCACTGTAGCCTGTATGTGAACCTTCTATGAGTAATATTAATTCAGCATGGAAAAAATGATGGAATTATGGAGATAGAACTTCTATGATTAATTTGAATCATAAAAATTAACCTAATGCAAGAAATTAGCAATCAATAATTCAATGTTGTTTTGTAAGTTTTGTACCAACAGAACTACAGAAAACTACATTAAATACGTATTGGCAAATGGCAACTTAGGCTAAAAAAATGCACTGCAACGGCAATCAGCTGTGAGACTGAGAGAAGGTGCCAGAAAGCGCGATGGATTCAATTTAGTCATTTTTTATTTGAAATAGGTCTCAGTTCTTTGGACTAGGAGCGTAAATTTCAGTGTAAAACCTATTAAAACTTTACATTTCTCTGTGGATTTTGATGCTGTTATCATTGAAATACTTGAAAGTATCTCTGATGCAAGAAATATTGGTTAAATACTTTTTAATTTAGAAATTAACATCAATCGAAATTACTGTTGTTCAGGGCTATGTTGGTTCTTGCGAACCGATTGTTGCATCCAGTTGCAGTGTCGCTTATATTAAAAATAAAATTATTTAAGCAAGTATTTCTTGCACCAGAGATAATTCAAAGTTTGTTAATGTTAACAGCATTATAATCCATGCAAAAACTTACATTTTTTACATAGATATTAAAAATTTAGGCTCTATGACTTGTATACTATGGGTATAGGATTTCAAATCGATGCATGCATTCAAATTCAAATAAGGCCCACCCACCCACAGCCGCCCACCAGTGTAGCAGTCAGCTCACCTCTCTTCAGAAGTGTGAAAGCTTTTGCCAGTGAAGGTGTGTTTTACGATCGGTCCATAAAGAAGCATTGATCGGTTCAAAATGACATAAGACCAGGTTCTTTTGAATAACCTATAGAATTGCACCATGGTTGGGAGTCCATGAGCCCTCTTTTGTTAGTTATTCTAGTTGGTAAAATTGTAATGGCAATTTTAGTTTGGAGAGACATTTAGCAACAACTGTTTGATATTCTCATATTTCCAGGAGGTTCTAATCTTGAATTTCAGTCTTTGAAGATCAACACTTTGAAGATTTGATTTCAGTCCTTGAAGATCAGTATTGCTATTAGCAATTTTTATAATCCAAGTAATAATATAGGTAGCCCATGAAAAAATTAATTGAATGTTTAATTAATTGAATTAATTTGTCACTGGAAGATCCATAGAAACAGTGGTTGAGGCCTTGTCCCTATGTCCCTTAAATGATGGTAGCTTTCCTATGTATATACACAATCAACATGGTACTTACTACATGTTGTTTGGACCTAGCCATTTTGATTTCAAATTTGTCTACTTGTGCCTTTCTTATACAAGGGCCAGATCTGGGAGAGACCATTTTCCTATTTGCTGCAAAATGGGCATTAAAATTAGGTCTCCTGAGAAGAGCTAAAAATTTTCTTTTGCAAGTTGTGAATTAACCCATTAATGCCAAGAATTCTTTTCAGAAATTTTTTCTGGTTTCCTGTGAAAATATCGCTTGTATTGATAATAAATCAAAAAGAGTAATAAATCAAGAAATTTGTTCAAATATTTATTTTGTCTGTTATATATAAAAAAATGTTAACTTGGTTCCTTATCAAACCGCTCTGCAGTAATACATACCTATAAGAAAAATTTGAAATTTCCAAATTTCATCAAATAACACTCATTTTAAAGGTAAATAATAAATGAAAGTGGTTCATAATGGACATTATGTAACTGCTGTTAAACCAGTCCTATATAATACATACTAGAATATATGGTATTCCAATCTTTAGTCTGGAATGCTTCAATCCATTCAGAATTAATAGGAAGGTTGCACATTTTACTAATGTAATGGGTGCATTGTCCACATTGTGTGCACTGGCAGTGTTTTTGATCTCCCTTTGCTGACCAATGTTAGTGATTGTTATATTGGACTTCATCAAGGATCAAAATAGAATGGTGCCATATAGACACTGATTTTCCAGGGATTCCTGCAGTATGGTTTTTTCTACCCAATGTTCACAACAAGTAATTGTAATAGCTATTCTTTTTCAAAAGTTATTTGAGAAGCCTGATCAAACAAAATAGATGTCACATATAATATGTTAGCCTGAGACAGAATTGTATCTTGTTAATCATTTCCATGCCAACATTTGATCCGTGTTGTAGCCCATGACTAGGTATCTTTTTGTATTAGATCCACAGTATATATGGCTTTTCATGCAGAAGAATACCATCTGGTTTTCTTGGGGCCCATGGCATATATCTGAATATCATGGGCTTGCCTCATATATTGTATATTGTTTATCATCATGTCCACCATAGTTCATTGTCTTCACTGTCAATGTTATAAAATGTCTTGTTTAATTACTGTTGCTAGAATGACTATCCTTGTAGACGATCAAATTTGCAAATGACTGCGTCATCTGAGCCATCTGAATTGTAGTCTGTTTTGTCTGTTGCTTTTTTTTTGATGGGAGGTTCAATAGGAGATAATTTATTTTCATGCTCTTCTTCTCTTGAAAGCTCAAGTATTTCATCAAGCAATAATATGCTAAAAATCCCAAAAAATATAGTATATATATTAGAAACAACAGTAGTAACTCTTGATGAAAAACTGTAATGTGTTCAACTTAGTTCCTAATATTTAACCTTTTGGTTTATATACACCTAACAGCTCTAAAGATAGATATTTACAAATAGATAACAGAAAAACTGCATATCGAACTTCAAATAAATAATTTCAAAATAGAAATAACTTTTTGCACCACAAAGTTACCATATGTTGGAAAAATTCATACTGATAGGGGTTGATACATTTTTCACTAGCAGCATTTCTAGTCTCTGCAGCTAGTGGCTTCTGGCTTGTAACTTGTAATTTCATCATCATCAAATCTATTACTTTATATGAAATATCAATTTAAGCAGTGCAGACATTAATGGTTAAGTTATGTACAAATTTTGTTGATTATGGGAATTTTCCGCGATTTTTCCAGGAATGTCTTTATTATATGGGCTACGCAATCAGCAATGCTAAGTAAAGTTATACAAGCTGGAATTTATTTCCATGGAGCCCTGCCCTATTAATGTCCGATATAGGTTCGATCCCACATAAATAAAGAAAGCAATCCCACATAAATATGTTTAACGACCGCTTCTCGAGCAAACTATCGTCACATTATTTCATTTAAAACAAGCAACACAAGCTCTCGTCATTTGCAGGCAACACGATATTTAGAACAATACAATGACATATTACTTAAATCAGTCTTCGACTTCAGACAAATTAACTAATAAGACACTCCGACACTGGCGGCAGAACGAGCCTCTCATTCAACACATCTCTAAATTGATTGCTAACAAGTTGTGCTACAGCATTGTCACATTCATGCATTCACTCGACACTGATCACTGTCCTAATGACACAATTCATGACAATAATCAAGATAATCAGAATAAACACAGAATCTCAGACAAGTGAAAGCACGAGAACGCTTAAGGGAGAACCACACGCTACGAGCGCGCAGCATGACTAAGTCGAGTGAGGCGTGAGCCAGCAGGGGCTGCCTTGCCCAATGCTATAATGGTCTGCCGCGGCAGAATACATTCAGCGTTTACATTTTATTTTAACACGTTCAAGTGAACGTGACAGCTTGTTCTTGGTGTATTACCATTGAGCTAAGGATTTTCCCATCTGTATCTGGTGGATATATTTGTAAACGAGTTATTATTGTTCCATTGTCAAAAATGTTAATTTCTAAATTTCCATTCATGTAAAAAACAGTTTGTCTGCTGTAGGAACAGTTTTTAATATTGTTTTTTTTTTCTTATTTCCAGGAAATTTTGCTCCATGTCTTTGCCTGAAGTGAAAAATCCCCCTCTTGTCCAGCGGCTATTTTGTAGGACAATGCCGATGGAGCCAATGAACTACTCCAATCCTGTACCACCTTGCCCAGGCCAGGAACCCATGGATTTCAAAAATCCTTCACCTCCAACTCTCGAGATGCAGTTTTCTCCCAGTAATGTTACAAAGAAGAAAAGTGACAAGATTTCTTCTCCTTTGCAGCTGTTCAACATTGAGAATAGATTTTCAAGAATGAAAATCAAGGTTGATAGTCTCGTTCAAGGGGACAATTTTCACGGATTTGCGAAATTTATGCGCGCCAATGAGCATAACATGCTATCATGTTGGGAGGAACAGAATGCAGTTGTTGATACTCCTTCAACTCAAATTAAAGTCGAAAATGATGGTTGCCTTGATCCACATGCCAGTCATCGTTGTCGACGTTTTTTGAAAGGAAAGAAGTGTCAGGACAAGTGCACAAAGTTACACCGGCTACCAAAAGAGGACGGAATAAAATGCCTCTCCGAGCAATATAAGCAGTGCCATTTGGGGAAAAAATGTATTTTTGTTCATGAAAATGACTCTGACACAGATTCAGAGCCAGATTCTTCTTCCACCCTAAATTTACCTCCTAATAATATTGCAGCTCCATCATGTTCTTCCAACCCAGTAAAAAGTGAAGTGGGTGTTAAACGGAAAGAAGTTAATGATGTTGAGCTCCCTTGCAACAAGAAAATAAAACAAGAAAAGGATTGTTTGCCTCCTTCCTCCCTACCTGAAGTTGCTATAAAAAGTGAGCCTGCTGAAGTTGATATTTACAAACATGAAGCTATTGACTACCCTGTTAAACAAGAAGAGAAGATTTCGACTGACACGGCTGACACTTCTAGCCTTTTACAAGAAAGGGTCACAAATGATCTAATCATCAGTGTTCCTGATGGATATCAGTCTGTTTCAGAAGAATTATTATCTCAAGTTAGTACAATAGTGCTGTTAGTGATGAGCTTATCACCTAATTACAGATTGTTAAATGCTCACTATTTTTTGCACAAATGTTCATTTTACATTCAAGAGTTTCGCTTGTCGTCACTTACCGCTGAGGTGCATTGGCGGTTGAAGGAAAAAAAGTGTGATGCGTGGCCCCTGGGTTGATGAATTTGCCGGTACGGCGAACTGAAGATTTTCCTGTTGTTGAAACTTAATTCCAGCGTAACATTGTGCATGCTTTCGGGAAATTTCTCCCCCTGTAGAAGAGAATGGCATGAATCATCTTTAAATTCATAGAACTTAGTTTTCAAAGGAAAAATTTTATTGTATCTTTGAGTTTTGAAAATTTTAATGTCCCTGCTCTGGCGTACCGAGTTATGTTAGATTAGAGAATAAAACTGTTCGAAAGATTTCGGTGTAATGTTGTCAACCTCAGCCTGTTACTATAGTGTCAACATGTTGGCTGTTACCAGAGGTGGCTGGGCAGTAGCGCGCTACATGCAGCGGCTGCTACTAGCGGCCACTACATTTTCAGTAGCGGTAGCGGTAGCAGCGCTACATTTAAGCAATTGTAGCGGTAGCGGTAGCGGTAGCGCCCGCTACATTCAGAGCATGTAGCGGTAGCGGCCGCTGCATTTCAAAGTAGCGCTGCCTAGCTCTGTATAAATGTATGATGGTAAGCCAAAGTTTACACCACATCAATAATTGATTCGACTCGTTCTGTCTCGTTAAAATGGCTATAAATTCCGGGAAATTTTAAGGTACCTATTTTAACCGGATGTCTCGTCTCGTCTCGGTATCGTCCCGGAATTCCTACGGAGGACTGAAAATTGTCCCGGTTTTTATTGCGAACCGGGACAGAGCCTGTTGTCTCGTCTCGTCTCGGATAAAAAAAAAATACCAAACGCAGAAGTCTATAATTGCCTCCACCATTGCTGGCGTCTCCCAGGTTCGGCCAGCCGTACTTATAGTACTTTAACGTGGACCCCAACAAAGGTTTACAATAAAAGACACTTCAGAAACCACGCTCTTGGATCTGCGTTTCCAAACTTTCTTAAAGAAAAAGAACAAAGAATAAATAACCTGAACTAACATAATTGGAGAAGATTCATCTGCCCAGTCTATTTCTGGATGGTTAAAGTCACCAACGATCAACGTATGCGACCTGCTGAATGACATGCTCGGTAAAAGGCTGTTTATTACTTTATTGTTATCAGAGGAGCTGTTAGGTGATCTGTAAATGACCCCTATGAGAAGGCTATCTTTGCCTTTGAGAGTAAGTTCACACCACACTGATTCTCTAGCTGATTGATAAAATCGCAGCTGATTGATGAGCTGATAACATACAAGTAACCAAGTTAAAACACGCCTTGACACTGGGAGCGCAGCCGTGCATCACCAATTTTGTGCACCAATAAGCCCTGAATCGAACGCCTTGGATCTCTCCGGATATCCACCAATCAGCCGTGCACCACTCGGCTTTGTCCTCCTCCGGCCTTGACCACCACCTGCCGTGCACCACCAGGCCGCCGATCGAATCTAACTTCCGGGCATCGTTAAATTACGTAACTTTACGTTCACCGCATCTGAGGTTAGGTTTCAGATAGCACAGTTCTGTTCCAAAATTTATCGTCCTTCGACAAGTGGCCGTTCGACCGAGGGCTGGTTCGACCCACGGCCTAGATACGGACGGCTTGAAGTATTGAAGGCTATGTTCCGGAAGGCAGGAATCATGATGGTCCATTACATCCAGGGCAGTGGAGGTCTTCGGCAGGCGACCCCGGTTCGACCCACGGCCTAGATACGGACGGCTTGAAGTGTTGAAGGCTACGTTCCGGAAGGCAGAAATCATGATGGTCCATTACATCCAGGCAGTGGTGGTCGTCGGCAGGCGACCCATCCTAGCTCTGTGCGCCAGTTTATGGTCAGAATCGGCGAGGAGGCCAGGCGGTTTTAAGCAAAACAAAATTGAAGCAGTGAGTTGCGCGTTCGAGACCGCGACAAGCTGTGGATATTCTGCGATTTTATGAATCGGCGACAGGCCTAAGGTGTAATAAACGCTGACACCGCTATTATTATTATAAAATAAACGCTGACACCGCACGCACGCTATGCGTGCGTGTATGCGTAGTCTGTGGTATCGTAGCTATGAAACTGAGAGTAGCTCTGCAAAACTGACTAAGCGTTTTTTTAATTAACTCGATTTTCCCGAGTACGCGGGATGATTAGGGTTAATTGACAAAAGTTACAGTTCTTTGTAAGCAGTTTGACCATACAAATTTTTTTGGTGTGGTAATATAAAATCGCAGTCATAGTCTAGTTGATGAGTTCGAAGATGATCACTGCATTAAATTGATTTCATTTCATATTCACAGCAACAAATGAGGTTTCTTTAATGTTTATTCGTCGCATGACAGCAAAGAAATAATTTGCTACCATGTCGTGGTTGACTCACCTCAGACTCAGAGACGTGATAAAAAGCGAGGTGAAAAGGGAAAGTGACCATCTGACCAGTGCAATGTGTCTTCACAAATATTCAATACAAATATAGTCTAGTTTAGACTTATTTTTGAGGATTGTAATTTGCAAATTCTCAAAAAATTTCAATGTTTCGGCAAATCGTTGAAAATTTTTCAGAGAAATTGATACCAGCTGTTTACAATTTTTTTCGTCCAAATTTCAAAAGTTTTCGCTTAAAATAGATGTCTGCTTTCCATCAATTTTGATTGATTTTGCACTCTGGTATTCGCATAAAAGCTTTATAATTGAAGTATTGTTTCAGTTCCTCATACATATTAGCAAAAAATTTTACAGGTCTTCAGAAAGAGAAGGTAACTGACAAATTGCAATGAGCTTCATTCAAAAAATAAGCATAACACAACGTATATCCAGATATCAAACTCAAATTCTTCTAACAAATAAAGTTTTTGTTCATATTAATGAATAAAATCTACATTTATTTAGAGATAGGTAAAATTTAACTTAATAGAGATTAATTATTCTGACAATTCGGGTATTTATACAGCAATAAGTTGTTTATTAGCATGTTTTCGATTTTCACATCCAGATGGCGCTTTTTATATTTTCACGTTGAACTGCGACATACTAATGACACATCCAAAGCCTAGGACCTCATTTCTCAGGGTGTGTCAACTGGCTCAGGTGGGAAGGGTGATTTGAGAAGATCCTTAGATCTACCGGAGCAGTCGTCTCGTTCGTCGGTTCGTGGACATGTCATTGTACTGTTGGCAATTGATATGGTGTAGAACATTGTAGATAGTTTAACTTGAAGTAATTAATCACTTTAAGATCATTTGTTATGCACCTGTGACGTGTCTAGAAGCTATAGCTACCTGTTTGCTTTTTCTTATTAAAATTACAATACGTAAACGTAGTTTGCACCTTGCATATTCGTCCCAATATAATAATGGGGAAGGATTTATTTAGCATTTTAGCCGAACCATGTACTTGCCAGTGAAAAATGTGAAATGAATTGTGAATTCGTTTATGTCGATTATTTTATTGTCGAGTCTCAACATAACACCTCGACCGTCGTCCGTCGAGGTGTTGTTTTAACTAGGTAACTTGAAAAGCTAGAATTAAGAACAATTGTACCAAAGGAGGGCGAAAAATAGAACAAGAGTTTATTGGCAGAATCCCAGCTTTTGTGTGAAAGAGAGACCTTTGTTTTGGCCTTTGTGACTTGTGTGACACTGGTGACTGCTGACTGGTGACTAGTGGTGAGCGGTGACAGACAAACATACATGATACAGACTGACAGTAAATCAGTGAGATAGCTAGCAGTGGCTAATCAATACCAAGTCAAAGAATGAAAGATTGGAAAAAACTTCACTGAAAATACTGAAATCTTTAGACTTGTAAGTTGTACCTCATCAATTAAAATGATTTGTAATTGCTAAAATTTTTTAGAAAATTTAAAAACTTTCAGAAATAAGCTAGGTACAGTATGTTGTAAGTTAGTAGCCACTTAGACCAGGTTAGTAGCTACTTAGTTAGCCTATGACTATGTACCTATAATCCAAAGAGAAAACTAAGGTAGAAACCACCCTTTAAGGCTCTAATCAGACATTAACACCCATGATTTGCCATAAATCTGTTTCTATGGCCTTTTCTTGGTTTCTTCATTGAAACACAATAATGGAAAAACTGCCGTTTTCACCTGCAATACCTATTGTAACAAGTAAGCAATACCTATCAAGAGTAAGCTTGGTCCTCTAACATGCTTTATACTATTGTTAATTTAGACATTTCACATTTCAAGAATGTGACCAACTGACCACCAGATCAATCTCGAGTTTGGGCAGAATTTTCCAAAAAGCAGTACATGGTGCCAGTCTGAGTCTATCACACACCATGCACACAAATGTAAATCCGCATTGTGCTGTGGTTGGATATGAAGATCCTTTCATAGATCATAATTCAAGCAATTAGCAAACATTAATCACAGAACTAAAGTAGGTGACATTGCTTGAGATGTGCCACCTTCAAATGATTGACTGGTTGCCGCAAGTAGGGTATGAACCTGTATGTCAGCATCAGGACTACTTTCCCGACATCCTCCCAGCTGGCGAAATAGACACGATCAATACCTAATAACAAAGCACGTAAATGGACTATACAAATCAGGTCAATATGGAAAACAATAGGTATATAGTCAGATGGGGTAAGACAGGACTCACAGGACCGAAATCACTAACAAGCATTTAGCATCTATACCATGAATAAATAAAAAACCCTAAACCTATCACAAGGTGTAGTTATGCAATGGGCTTCTAAGCTACAACTCAGACTTTCTGCATACAACATAGTTTTCTGTACAGATTAAAAAAAGTGAGCTGGACCCATCTTACCCCACTGGGGTAAGATGGGACTGGGGCTGGGGTAAGACAGGACCAACAGGTAATTCTTATGTTACAAGGTTTTTAATAAAAGTACAAACCTGATATTCAATATTATCAATCTAGAAACACATTATTTGATTAAACAACCACTTGACTGTTTTGTGTTGCAGGATGTCAACTCTATTGAAATTTATCAGTCACATTGAAGTTTTTGTTACGAGAAAAGTTTGTTAACTCTTTAATGACCAAATTTTTTTTAAGCGCATAAAATTTTTTTTTGTTATGATTTCTAGTGATTCCGGTCACTAAGTAGTGTATAGATGAGTATAGAACATTGAAAATTGTATATTGAAAAATTGTAAGGCAACATTTCAGTCCACTTGGTCTTACAAGATCCTAACATTAAATGCGACGGTATGATCCATTTAGTCTTCTGAGCACAAAATATGGATGATATTATGTAGCTGGCATAGTTAATTATTATTTTATGCCATCAACTGGGGCTACTCGGGACAGATTTGATCATTTTTTTGTTAATAACTGTTAATAACTTCTTACAATGAAACATTTCATAAACAAATTTAGGCTCATTTTATAGCTCTTTGCGAGGGCTATCAAATGGCATCATCAAAAAAATTCCATATGCTATTTGTAAGGTGCCAGAAGCAAAATAAAGATTGTCCCGAGTAGCCCCGTCAGTCGGGGCTACTGGGGACAATGGGAATAAAACTTCATTTCAAAACATTTGAAGCATGCAGAGCGTACTCATCCATTACTGACAGTACTCTGAAGTCCTCCTCTTTCATTGTAGATGATGTAGATGTAGAATAAATGACATTTTCTGTGATTTTTCCTTGTTTTTCCTTTATTGATATGATATTGCCATATACATTAATTACCATATTATTGATGTGCAATTATCGTATTATTGATGCGATATTACCGTATCCATGAACATGCCATTGAGCATTTACAACAACCTGGTCCACTGCAAGCTTCATATCAGCAGCCTTATAGCATTTTTTTTTCGTATCTGTAAGCTTACAGGACAGCTCGTAATTTCACATCATTTTAATTGGGTTAAGTGAATTTACCATAGTAAAAAAGATTGTGAAAAACATACCTGAAACAGAAAGGAATGTTTCATTGACAACCAACGTATCTTTTGGAGAAATAAATCATAGTTTAGGTCAATTACTTTTCATTCTATGATGCCTGGTGCACAATTCTATACATGACATGCTATGCACAATTTTGTGATGACCGATGATGCACTAATTTTTCGATAAGTGAAATTTTTTTGCCAAACGAGGTAAATGCTGTCTCTTATACACATCTAGATTTTTTCACTGGTTATTTATTCGATTATTAATAACGAGCCAGACGCATGACATTCACGAAGCAATGTACGATACGGAACTTATTACAATGGGTAG